CCTGAAAGATCAAAATCCCTAAGGACTAAATCCTTGAAATCTAACATATCTAAACAGCAAAAATACTCAAAATTACAATTATAAAATAGGTTTGTTTTTTCCTTTCCTTCAACTTTTTAAAAGTTTTTTTCACTATTTTTAATTATCAATATTATGTTTTACAATTTGCTATGAAATGTATTTCATCTTCACATTATTTCCAATACTGAAGGTATGGACCGTGTAGAGAATTTGGGAATTTTAATTTGTTTTATGCATTTTTTTTGCAAATTCTACTCCACAAAAGTGCATTATCACAATATTGACTTTGTGTGTAAGCATTTTGCATGTACTAAAAAATGTTGAAGCTTCTTCAATAAATGAAAAAAAAAATGTCCTTTTGTACATATGCATTTAAAAAAATTTTTATTTTGAAGATGTGGGGTAAAATTCAGGGTTAGGTATACAAATGCTAATTGTGCAGGTACCCTTGTTGATGAAGTGTACCCCCCTCCTCCCCTGGCAGTTTCCCACTACTGCCAATCCCACACCCCCATCCCCCGCCAGTTTCCAACTGCTGCCAATCCCTTTCTTATAGTATTATGATAATTGTTCAAGGTCCACTTATGAGTGAGAACATGTGATACTTAGTTCTTTGTTTCTGTGATAGATCACTCAGTATTATAGACTCACATCTGCATTTGTGAAAGATAAAATTTCCCAAAATCTCAGCTCTTTGGGCCACTGTATGTATAGTGGTAACCCACAGAGGTGTATGCTTGATCTCATCAAAAGGCAGGTTGTTCTTCAGGGTACTTCAGATGACTGACATTATAAATTACAGCTGGGTGCAAACAATTACCAACTACAGTGATACATTTCCCTTTTGGCCTATTTATTTATGAATATGGTCTACCTTCTCATAACTGTTATACCTGTATATTTGAGTGTTTATGCTTCCAATGATATGTATGTCCGTATTGCCAATTTACTATGTAAAAGTGGCTTCTATTTTTATATGTTTCTCAAATAAATCCCCTTTTAACAAGACAAATAAAAATCTTTTAAAGAATTTTAAAATTATTTTTTTCCAGATTGTTTTAGGGAATTTTGATCTTTCAGGTTCTTAACACTCAGTATTATGTCTTTTGGGATTCTGATCACCTCCTGTGAGCCTCCAGGTCAGGGCATGTGTGTGTTTCTTTGAACATCTTAATGTGGGAGTTTATGCAAGTTGCCTTTGCATGTTTTTGATAGTGTCCCTTAATGCACAAAAGTTTTTCACTTGATGTCAAATAAATCAATTTTTCCTTTGTTCTTATACTTTTGGTGTCACAATCTAAGAAACCATTTCCAAATCCAAGGTCATAAATATTTTCTCAAATGTTTTCTTCTAAAGGTTTTACAGTTTTAGATATTCTGTGTAGGTCTTTGATCCATTTCAAGTTAATTTTTGTATCTAATATGAAGGAAGGGTTCAAGTTCATTCTTTTGTATGTGGATATGCTGTTGTCCCAGTGACCTGCGGTGAAAAGACTATTCCTGCCTATTTGAATGGTCTTGGCACCCTGGTCAAAAAATCAATTGGCCAAAGATGTATGGGTTTGTTTCTGGATTCCCAACTCTATACCATTGATCAAACTGTGAAAGGAATTTTTGAGACACTCAGAGGAAATTTAAATATGATCTGAAAATGAGGCAATATTAATGAACTATTGATTATATTAGGTTATAATGATATTGTGGCTATTTAACAAATTTTTCTTATTTTTCACATTTAGTGAAGCATTTAAGGATGGAATGGGCATGTCTAAAATTTCCTTTAAGAAATGACAGCCAAAAATTTTCTTTAAAATGAAAGAAAAACGGATAAATAAATCAGTACAGTAAAATATTAAAAATTATTTAACCTAAGGATGGGTATATGCTCATTACCCTATAGCCTCTCTTTCATGTATACTTGAAAACTTTGATATTAAAAAGTTGAAATAAATAATCTTGGTTAGACAGCTAATTTTGAATTTGGATCTTGGAATAAAGCAATTCTTAGAGAAATGGAGGAAGCACAGATCTTTTCTTCCTGTGTAACCATATCTCACCCCCAGTTCCAGAGCTACAATTGCCCTGGATGGTATAGACTGAGCCTAAATCATGTTCAGCTGGACCCCGTCATCAGTTCAACTAGAACTCACCAAATATTAAAAACGACTGGGAGTGACTACTTTTTCCCCCACTAAAACTACTTTAATGTCCCTGTATGATGATCTCTCATCCTTATTCAAGTATTCAATTACATCACTGGGTATAATTCCCTTGAAGAGACTCAATGAGTTTTTGCTACAAGAGACATCCAGAAAAATCCCCTATGCAGAATTTGAGACACTGCACACAAACACATGCACACACACACTCTCTCCCTCTATCATTAACCAATACTTCCTTCTCATCAGACAGATGAAATTCAGACTGACTCCTGTTGTCCACCAAGATATAACAAACTGTATGCTTTTTCAAGACATAGCCTGCCTATCTGAAAGAAGGAAGGAGAAATAGACAGTGTCCACGGGTCGTTCCATGGCAATTTCCTTTTGTAGTTGAGCTCCATCCAATTTCCTTTTGTAGTTGAGTTCTTAGTCTAGGAGGCCCTCTGAAATCTGAATTCTTCTTTGAGAATTCTACTTCATACTTTATAATAAAAAATATATACATTCATACATAACCTTCCACATGTATAGAAACCTTCATACATAAATATCCTTTAACAGATAAACATATATTTCATATCTCATTAAAGATATATGTAACCAAAAATATATAAAACTATATATGGTTCAGTATGTTTCATATTTTATAGATATCTCCAGATGATAGGTGATACAAAGTAATAAAGTTTTCTATATCTCTAAACTATGACCCTATGAGCCACACTGAATTCAGGAAGTGGCAGGGCTCCACCCTTGGCCAAAGTGCAAGATGCAGACAGCACCTGGGTGGCACTTGATGGTATACCCGATGGATGGTAAAGGGGAGAGAAGCCTTTGACAATCTCAGCCTCTTAAAACCTCTGACTTGCAACTCCTTGCCTGGTCTTGCCAACAGCAGGAAGTCATGCCTCATTTTGAAAGGTCTAAAACTGTAGTCTCCTTGGTTTTAGAAAAAGCATTATTTCACCTTACCATAATTATTCAAAAAGTCACTCTTTCATCAAACATCTGCCAATATGTGAGAAAATATAACTATTACAAAGTTTACTCTATCTTATAAGAAAGCAGACAAATAGATAAAAATGCGTAGCCCATCCTTAATAAAATAATATACAAGGGTTGTTCAAACAGTTCATGAAAAATGTATATTATGTAATGGATTTCATTTTTTTTGCACCAAAATTAACTCATAATAATGCCTTATAACATGTCTGAACAGGATCTCGCTTGAGGCACTAAGTTAAAGCATAAGTTTGAAAAGAAGGTCAAGGCTGCCGTGGCCGGAAGCGGCCATTGCACTCCAGTCTGGGCGACAGAGTGAGACTCCAACTCAAAAAAAAAAAGAAAAGAAAAGAGCCCCTATCAGATCAATAAGAATTTTGCTAAAATACAGCAGTGAGTAAAGCAAAGCCCCAGTTCATGGAACTAACCTTGCAGAGGTCATTCCTGGTCAGGAAACGGAAGTTTGAAGAATATCTGCTAGTAAGAAGAGAGGTGATGAAGCATAGCAGGCAAAGGAGAAGCAGTAAAAAGGTAGAAAGAGAAGCAGCAGATAGACTGTCATGAAGCCTGGGAGGCGAGTCTTGCAGAGGAGGCTGCTAAGGGGACCACGAGTTAGAGTCAAGCCTAATGAAAGCTGAAAACAGCCTATTCCCATTGTCATTTCTTAGAGCTGACGCTTTTGCCTCCTAAGTGGTCCTCTGCCTCCAGTTCTTTCTCTACCAACACTTCTTGAACTTTCCAGGTACACAAATCTCTCCCAGACGTTCCAAACACAAATTCCCTTGTCTGACATTTATTTTAACTCCTTCCTTTCCATCTTCATCTACCACGGTCCTTGTTCTCAATCTTTCAAACCTTTAACTGGAGTCAAAATTATTTTCTCCCTGACTCCCTCTTGCATTCTTGCACGGAGGCTGGATTGGATAGGGATGATACCAGAAGTAGAACCTAAATGACTACTGAAATAGCCACAGAAGATGCACAAGTGGGAAAGAGGATAATTTTGAGATTTTTTTTTTTTTTTTTTTGAGTTGGAGTCTCACTCTGTCACTCAGACTGGAGTGCAGTGGCCGCTCCCGGCCACTGCAGCCTCGACCTGCTGGGCTCCAGCGATTCTTCCGCCTCGGCCTTCCAAGTAGCTGGAACTACAGGCGCACACTACCACGCCCGGCTAATTTTTGATTTATTGTAGCGATGAGGTCTCGTCAAGTTGCCCAGGCGGGTCTCGAACCCACGGGCTCAGGCAATCCACTCACCTCCGCCTCCCAAAGTGCTGGGATTACAGTCTGAGCCCCCTAGCCCCGCCTGAGATATTTTTAGTGTATGTTTACATATCCTACTTACTGTTGGCGGAGACGAGATAAACACTGAGGAGGAATTCAGGGAATGTGGAACATTTTTTTCACAGGGTTTATATTGAAGATACACTTGGGAGCTTGGCCAATTTGAAGCCTTGTACAACTGTTTCCCACGTTTAGGTAATTTGGTCAGGCTAAAAGACAAGTGATCTTTGTATACCTTATTGCAGCTAGTATGGATGGTGAATAACAATCAGTTGGATCCGCGAACCCAGGAACAGATCTGGAAGAGAGCGCAGCCCTGCCACCACCTTTCCACTTCCTCCCACTCCCACTCCCACGCCCACGCCCACTCCCACTCCCACTCCCACGCCAACGCACTTGGGGCAGAGGAACTATTATACATTGCCCATAAGGCCCCGCGCGATGGGCCGGCGTTCCCGCGGGGCATCCTGGGAGACGTAGTCCGCGTTCCATAAATTGCTTTCCGGAGACCCGCCCTCCCTAACATGGCGGCGCCCGATTGGGGCGGGTTCGTTTGCTCCGAGCTTTGGCCAGGGCGGGGGTCTGGGCTTTAGGCAGTAAGTGGGGCTGGTGGCCGGGGCTTTCGGGAGGGACGTGGGAAGCGTAGGGACGGCGTTGGTGGCACCGCCTCCTGAGGGCGAGGTGAGAGGCGGCCCGGGCCGGCCCGGGCCTGCCCGGGGATGTGGCGCTTTCCTGACGTGGGGTCAGTGGTCTCCGACCGCGGGGATCTCTGCCTCGTCGCGACCCTGGGCCCTATGGTGTCTTGGAAGGCTGGAGGGCCCCGGCTTTGGCCGAGGGAGTGAGGAATAAGGGAAGCTAGACGAGGAGGTCGAGGCCAGACTCTCGAGTTTTATTTTCTGTGCTTTTCTTCTGAGGAACGAGTTGAAAAGGGAAAAAATTGCATCTCGGCGCTTCCTGTCACTTAAAAACTGCTAGGCGCTTTACCTTTCTCATCTCCAAGTGACCCTCCACCACACTCGGTGTGAAACCCTGAGCGGGTTACCTAAGTCCCTGGGGCTAATGTTTGGATTCGTGAATACATTTTGGAGGGCATTTACGTTCGATAATTTTAATGGCAGAGTCTTTTCTCCTTCCCCCAGTGAACCTTCTCCCAGCCCTCCTGCTTTGGGACTACGTACAAAACTACTGTAAAGAAAATTAATTTGATTGATTTAATTAAGTGTCAGAATCGGGTATAAGATACTGAGGAGTGTGAGAAGCACAGATTTTAGTGAGTGATTGATGGTCCCAAGGTTCCTGTCAACTCTTGGAATCTAGGATTGGCTTGTCAGTCCAGCTGTGCATTATGTATAATGATAGACTTTCTTTCTTTTCACTTATGTGAATATGCCCTTTTAAAAACAGCTATCATTTATTGTGGGCCTAACCCTTTATACTAAGTGCCTTTCTTTTACTATGCTATTTGGCTGTTTAAAAGACCGTAGGGGACGGGTCTTTTTACACTAGAGAAAACAGGTTAAGTACCTAAGATCACACAGGTAATTAGGATCCTGGCAAGGATGAAAACAGTGTCACCAAAACCCAAACTACTGTACATACTTTATAAGAAATGATTTAACAAAATAGATACATCCAAGTGTAGGAAGATTTGGAAAATTATTTAAAATTTATTTTAATTTTATTTAAAGTTTATTAAAATCTTATTTAAGAAATGAAAGCATTTAATATAACGTGTCTTTTTTTTAAGGGTAGTATTAGTTTCACAATGTTTGGGGACCTATTTGAAGAGGATTATTCCAGTGTGTCAAATAATCATTGTGGAAAAGGGAAGAAATTAAAGTCTAAAGCTTTGGAGCCACCTGCTCCTAGAGAATTCACCAATTTAAGTGGAATCAGAAATCAGGGTGGAACCTGTTACCTCAATTCCCTTCTTCAGACTCTTCATTTCACACCTGAATTCAGAGGTATGCTATGTTACATGCATTTGATTAGTAATATGTACCATCGTCTTTACATGTAATTCATTATGCAAAATAAAAAAATCCAAGTGTCTTAAAGATGTTTTCCACAATATGTGTTTATTGCTGCAAATGTAAGTTACAAATTGGTAATTCTCTCTGCAGAGAAATGTGAAACTTAAATTGTCATAAGTATATTCTGTGTGATTATAGTAATGTTTAGTAACAAAATTTTTAAAAAGCAACATATTTTCTAATTTCTGTAATTTAAAATACAACATAAAGACAATTCTGTCATAAGTATCAGTCTTCATTATTGTTACACTGTTTATATTTTTTAGTTTTAAGATTTCTCCAAAATAATACTTAAGCCAGAGTTATCCAAACAATTATATCTACCTTTTGAAGTGGGGAGAGATGTCACATTATTTATTCAGGTCTACAGTTGTTCATCTGCATTTCTGAAATCCACAAGGCTCTTTCCTTGATCTGATCTGACCAGAACTTGCTTGGCTTCAGAACCTGACTTGGTATGAGGCTATTTATAGTTTTCAGTTATCTCATGTGGTGCATAGTCATACATTCATTACAGGAATATTAATCTGCTTGATTAATGGATACTGTCCTAGACTCTGCTTGGAATGTAACAATGCTATATATATAACACTTTTTAAAATATCTTTCTAAATTCTGGAAATTCTAAATTCCAAAGACCCAAGGATTTTAGGTAAGGGATTGTATTCAAGGAAAAGAAACCAACTCAAAGCAGCTAAATTTAAAAGGGAGGTTATTGAAAAAATATAGGGGAATCTTCCAGAAACCAACTACAAGAAGCCAGCCTGACCCCACTGGACCCTTGAATTCTTGATTCTATTTCTCTCCAAATGTCTGTTCCATTCTCATCTCACCAACCAGCTTCCTCTACAAGGGTGTTAGTGCCTACGTTCTCCTGATCTCAGCATGAACATTATTTTGCTTTCATATGGCCCCCTGATTGGGGTTCCCAGCGCTACATGGCTGTGTAACTCAACTCATCATAGTGTCTCCACATATTGAGAACCAACAGCCTGACTCGTCCTCTGTGGTTTGCCACAATCCCATTCCTACCACCACCAAATTTATTAGATCTTTGTGATGTGTTCTGTTACTTCTAAGCTTTCTGCAACCAGAGACATAGTAAATATTTACCATTGTTCCCCTCCCAGGGCCATTCTAATGGATTGAACTGCATGTGGGATTTTAGAGTGGTGCCTTACCTGTAATCCCAGCACTTTGGGAGGCCAAGGCAGCTGGATTGCCTGGGCCAGCGGGTTCAGGACCAGCCCGGGCAACTTGACAAGACCTCATCTCTACAATAAATAAAAAGTTAGCTGGGTGTGGTAGCATGCTCCTGTAGTTCCAGCTATTTGGAAGACAAGTGGAAGGATTGCCGGAGGCCAGCAGTTTGACACTGGGGTGGCCGTGAGCATGCTACTGTATTCTAGCCTGGGTGACGGAGTGAGACTCCAACTCAAAAAAAAAGAAAAGAAAAAGAAAGCATATATTAAAAAAAAAAGGAGTCATGCCTCTTAGCTTGACAATATCCCCTCCATAAAAAAAATCTTCTTGATGCAGTCAGTAATTCTAACATTAAAAATTTTCAGCATTAATAAGATTCCTAAGACAGATAAAACTTCAGTTTTTAATATAGCTGAAGCTAAAGGACAACTTGAATTAGAAAAGTAGCCTCAAATAGACTGAGAAAGAAGGTAAAGGAGTTGGGCAGGTCAAGGGTTGGACTGAGAACCCCAAGCCAGCTTCCTCTCCAGCAAAGGCCATCACTGGCCAAGCACATGGTTTGATTCTTGGTGTAGAATGTGTACTCCTTATACAGCTTAGCATGAATCCTGATGCTGATTGACAGGTAAGTCTAATTTGGAAAAGGTAAGGACTGGAAGAGAACCGGAGGTGAAGAATTTTGGAATACTGTCTTAAGGAGTAGGGCTACATTGGTTTCTATTGTGCTACCATTACAATGTAGCTGGGATCAGTGGGATATGATTGTGCTTAACTTGTAGGTTTGTTGTTTACTTTTGCCCGGTGTCAGCACTTAGGAAGAATATAAACATTCTTAACTATAATTACTAGGGCTGTGGTGGTTTTCTTTTCTTTTTTTCCCCCTTGAATTGGAGTCTTACTCTGTTGCCCAGGCTGGTGTGCAATTGCATGCTCACAGCCACCACAGCCTCTGCTGGGCTCAGGTGATCCTTCTGCCTCAGCCTTCCAAGTAACTGGAACTACAGGCATGCGCCACCACATCTAGTTAGTTGTTTTTTAAAAATTTTTTATAGAGATGAGGTCTCGCCAAGTTGCCCAGGCTGGTCTCAAACCCATGGGCTTAGGCAATCCTCTCACTTCGGCCTCCCAAAGTGCTGGGATTATAGGCATGAGTCAC